ATGTTATATTTTGCAATAAAATATATTTTCTTTTCGCAATTTACAAAATACAATAGTATGTGTTATATGTTGCAGGGAAAATATATATTCGTTTTGCAATTGGCGCAATTTGAAAATTTTATTTCATTTTTTTTTTATTACATGCATACGCACTATTGAGGGGTAATTTATAATAAAAAATTAACATTATTACCACTTGAATTATATTATTTATGTAACGGTTTTTTTTAGTTTATGTAACAGTTTTTTATAAGAGGTACATGCACACTTGGCGCCTTTTTTACTTTTTTTAAAAAGGTAATTTTGTTAAGTAAATTATACATGGATTTATATAAATATTTTATTGTTGAATCCTACGAATTTACCCTTTGATCATTTTTGTATTGTTTCATTAGAGTTTTTGTTGCGTAAGCCACTTATTAGTTGATACAGAATTACAAAATCTTGGACTATATAACTAATACTTTTTTTTTACGTTATAAGAAAATGCTTCATTTCTTTTTTATTTATAATATTCTCGATATAAACTCTCTTAAACTGCGAATTTTTATATATCGCAGGAATTCGATCATCCTCGCATGCTACTGCAAAAAGACACGGGTTACCTGAAGAATGTTGCAGGAAACAGGCAAGGCAATGGCGGAGGTTCTGGCTTTCGTCGCCCATAACTGCTATCAGAATCGTGGATTTACGGCGTTTTGATGTATCCACGGAGTTAACTTTTTGCAATTGCGTCAGATGAACACCATGATTAGGTCATGAAGATTCCGACAGTTTTTGCAATTATTAGGCCAAATTCTGTGATTTTAAAAACAAGAAGAAAAGTGGAACGCGCAGTCTGAGAATTTAGAATTCATAATCATCTACTCTGTCACATATTTATCACGTATTCTACATTCTGTTCGCATTGAAATTTTATTTTATTCCATAAATTTTTTTTCTAAAAAATTTATTTAATTCTATAAAATTATAGGACGTCATGGTTTAGGATATTATAATGCAAATGAAATTTAAAACTAATTAAGTGTTAATTAAGCGAGATACGTAAAGT